TTTTTTGTGTGTGTACCATCAAATCGGATCTGACTGGAACAGGAAGTGATTGCCCCTCCTTCTCCAGCAGAGCATCTCATAGATTCTAACTGTGTACCTCTGGGATTGCAATGCAGCTTCTTGCCACAAGGCCACCAGAACTCCCTCCAATGAAACACATCTTTTCGTTTCTTTACTACTAGTGCCAAAAATGTAGAATGTGGATCCAAGTAAGATGAACTAGTTTATAATTTCAATCTTCTCTTCATCAGATGTTGTCTACTGTTGGCCCAGCTGGGAGGATATTTCTTTTCTTGATATTGAAACATAATCCATATTGAAAGCTGTAGTCACTGATTTTCTACCGCAAGCATGTAAATCCTCCACATTTTCAGCATTATGTCATATGCAAGTTGACAAGCCTTCCTCCAATCCTGATGCCACATTCTTCTCCATAAAGTACAGCTTCTAGAGTTATTTGTTCAGCATATACATTTGTTGTAACTTGTGGTTAAGGTAACTCGTGGTTGCTCTGAAGCGGAGCACTGTGACACTGATGCATCAAATGCAATAATGGTTACCCACGGTGGACAGGTTTTGGTGGAGCTCCCAAATTAAAACAAGCTTGAAAGCAGGAGTGGCATCCACTTCTGAAATAGATTGCTTCTGGAAACTCAATGAACTTGGAGAAATGTTGAAAATTATACAACTGTTCAGGTCTTTCATTCATAGGGTTTCTAAGAGATGCCAGTGACTCCAATACAGTCTAAACTACTTAATTATCATTGGTTCTTGATCATACACTGCTTTCTGAAATGGTTCTGTGTAATCCGATTATTTTTGGAACAGCGATTGTGTATTTCTATTGATAGCAAAGTGCTAAAGCTGTCTAATAAACACTGACCTCTTTGAAGCTCCTATTTGGAAATTGTAAACATTAAAGGAAAGAACACTCTTTTTTATAATTTAAATTTGTTGTTAATTTTAGTGAAAATTTACAGAGGCTTTGGATTTCCATTCACTCATTGTTGTAGATTTGTCCCCTCTCAAGGCTCCCCCCCCTGACACCCCAGAACACGACCCTCTTGAAAAAGTAAAAGAAAAGATTCTTTCATTGTTTTACAAACCCTCCCCCAGGGCCACTCCACCATGTAGCTATCTCTCTAGACTCCTGTCATGACAGAAATATCTAGTCACATATCTCTTTTAAACACTCTTCTCCCTCCTCTGTTTCAGTGCAGTATACATTATTGAACCCATCTTACTCAGTCTCTCCCCAACCCCAAGGTCAGTCCTACAACAGTGGCACCATGCAATATTTGTCCTTTTATGACTGGGATATTTCACTCAGCATAATGTTCTCCAGAGTCAACCATTTTGAATAATA